CCAAACCCAAGGAAACTTTCGAAGAGATTCAAAGACACTCAAGATTAAAGATTTATTTGTTCTTTTGAAGTTGCAGCAGTATCTTCTTTTTTTTTTTTTTTTGGTCTTATTTCGGCAACAAATGCAGCCTGATAATGGTGTTTCTGCAGTGTGGTTGGTGGTGACCCAGAACTGCCAGAGAGAGAGGGAGCTGGCCTGACGGTCGGGTCTTGTCTCAAAACTCCCCTAATGAGGAATGGTTCAGTAATGGCTTCACTTCCTTGTAACCTCAAAGGACAAGACAGTTTACTCGCTTGTAGACTGTTATTTATGAACTATATTAGGATGTGAGAAAGGAAAAAGAAGAAGAAAAAAAAAAGACAACGAGGAAGCAGGGTTGTTAGACGGGTACGCTGGCTTTGTTTTGCAGCATCTTTTCATAGTCTGGTGCACTTCAAGTCTGGCTCGTCTCGATAATTTCTTCGTACTGTCTAATCTATATCAAGGAAGCTCCTTTGTCGCATTGTGCCGATTTCGATAAAGAGATCGTACAGTGATTGTCTTGTACATCTGGCGTCTTTGTCATCTTATTTTCTCTTGATATGCAACAATGGGTGCGAGGAAACTTTCACCTTTTTCGCCGAGGAATCTTTGGTCGCAGTTATTAGATTTAATAGTCAAACATGTCTCAGAATGCTTTGATTTCAATTAAGCTTTGAATTCCAATAACGGCTCATTGTTCTTGCTTTTATTAGCTGCTCTATCTCTTAGATTCATCAGGCATATCTCAGTGTGCTGTGCATCAGTGCATCTCTTTCCCATCTGCTCCGGCGCCAGCGGAGAATCACACTGCCCCCTAGTGCCCACTGTCATTAGTAACACAGCAGAATTGATTGTGCAGCCGTCAACCAGACAATACTCTGGTAGTCTGCCAGTGGCTCGATACCAAGATCTGTCATGGGCAGCAATGCACCACAATAGATTCTACTGATTGGAGTGGTGCACACTCCTGGCTATGACACTGGCCTACCGCTCGCTATCGAATGGCTGTTTTTCTCTCTCTCCAGTCACAAGGCCCCTACTTCAGCAATCAATGCTCCTCATTTTAATAGAACCGCTGCTGCTGCCCCGAGGAGAGAAAAGGAGGAATCAGGGTGAGCTGGTGTCTAATCATTCTTCGGAGGTGAAGACCGCAATCATGCCTTTGATGGATCTCGGAAAATGACTGAATGCGCTGCAGCAGACACATCGCACTTGGTGGTGTTTGTTAATGGAATCAGTTGGAAAGACTTGTTTAAGCACAATACCGTAAAGTGGGGCTTCATGTGCAACATGGAAATGAGGTATTAAGCCTTAACAGAAAATGCAGAGACTTGATAATGCAGAGAGGAGGAGATAACATCGAAGAAATAAAAGCTCGCAGCCCACATCCTATCCTCTGTTCTAAGCTTACATATCTCTTAGGCTCTCTAGCCCCAAGACACAATGTGAGCTGAAGCAGCCACAGACTCCTCCAAAGACATCCTAAGTAAATGCTCCAAATGACAAGACAGACTAAATACCCCCTAACAAACGATACAAGACTGCAGAAAGCGCTTTAACAAAAGAAGTATGTAATGAACCCAAGGTGCCTTCTCCCCAATATATCATCCTGAGTGAATTTGCCAACATCACTCTCTTTACCTCCAAGCATGGTAAATGAGAATTTATGCACCCGCTACTTTATCATTCTTTACTTTTTTTTTCACCCCCATGAGGTAGCCATGCCATGCGAGACAGATATTTTCACCAAAGGCAATATCCCCTCGCAGTAATTATATCAGAGTGAGAGAATGGCTCATTAACATATGTTAGGCATGTCAGGAATTTACAAGCGCCTTTTGTAGATGCCTCTCGTCAGTGTGCTGCTCCCATCCGTATGGTGTCTCCTTTGAGGATGCAACCTTCTCATTTCCATACACGTCAATCATGCTGCGCGTGGTTTTAAGAAACAATCTGCACACAAAAAAAAACGTGGCAATCATAAGGGACAGCTCAGTGATATGGAAAAAAGTGTGTCTGCGCACACGTGGGGGTGTGTGTGTTTTGTGAGACGACATAATGAAAACAAAGTGTCGGGGGCGACGTTATTGTGGTGGTGCGCCATCAACGCGGAGTGGGTGAAGCGAGTGTGTTTTCTGTTTTAAGAGGTGCGTGTGAATGCATGCATAAAGCTTGACACCAGACACCAGACCGACTAACAGACGAGTCCCGAGGCCACTGAGCTTGTGCCGCCGCCGCCGCCGCTGCTGCTCCACTGCTGCAGGACCCAACATCTGCTGCCCGCAAGAAGACACGTACCGCTGGCCTTTCACCCACTCGTATGGTGCCAGCAGAAGGAAATGACCTATTTAACAGCGATGTGCACATACACTAATTTATGAACTGAAATCGTTGTTATGTAAATCCAAAGAACATTCTGGGAGGTTATGTATCATTCATTGGTAAATTCACCCGAGAACAAAATAGCGTCTGTGTTATCTTAGTAATGGTAATTATGTCTTTTTAAAAAAAGTTTGAATGTAGATTTGCGAACACAGAGTTCTCTTCCAGCGCCAGAGGCAGGAGAGCAGACTCAGTAGTGATGTAACCATGCAAAATCTCCCTGTGAAGCGTTGTGTTTTTATAATAAACCAGAGCTGGACTTAATGAGTAATATGATGGTATCCAGTGTGATTACTCAAGAGAAAAGCAACATTTGTTTGCATAACTTTGCGTGTTGGTCTAAAAATCTGAATGCAAGTTTCATTAAGATGATAGTTTAACTTTTGGGAAATTACAGCGACTCACTTTCAGAGTGTTGATCAAATGTTGGAGACGAATGTTAGTGGCGTTACGGGATTTCAATCTCTTTTGAGGCAGCTTGCGTGTGCTGTGTGTCGCAAGCGTAAATTAAAGCTGTATTTTTTCGAATTTCTCTTGAAAATTAAATTCATTCTATGTAGGGAAAATACATGAGCTCATATGGTGTTGTGATCCCAGTGACCCTGACTGCTTCTCTTTCGTCTGCCCCTGGCTTTGTCCGCTCCATGCCAACAAGTCCGAGCTAGACTGGTGTGATGTTTAGCAGCGGCCGACTTGGCCATATGCCCTCGTACTCTGACAGTAAACTAACTCAGCTCACTGAGAGAAGGACTTCAGGCTTTGCCAAAAAACCCCAAACATATTCACTTAAGCAGCCTCACTTTTCTTTCTTTCTTTTTAAAAATGAATAAGCTAAGTGAAAATGAACAAAAGAAATAATTTAAAAAGAATATAGACCCATTGGCTGGGGGATGAAAAAGTGACCTAACAATGGCATTACAGGAGTTTGACAGAAAACCTACAAAGTGAGAGCGAGATAGAGAGGAAAGTCATTTTGTCGAGTCCAGTCTTTTGCCCCAGAAAATGTCATTGCGATGACTGAAGACACAACGTCCATTTCCACCACCGTCCGCTCTCTCTATCTCTCTCTTTCTTTCTCATTCATTGTCACTGCCTTTTCCCTTTAAGTGCACTTTCGCCCACACCACTTGGAAATTGATTGAAACAAAATGTCACAATTATGCCCTGTAGCTCGCCGCTTCAATTATTCATCAATTAGGGGCTAGGCTCCTTTTTTTCTCTCCTCTGAGCTGATTTTTCATTCAGTTTGCTCGAGATGTATGGCTCCCCTGCTGTTAACCAGTCCAAAGTCATTAGTTTCTGGGTTTGCAATTAAACCTGATGCATTATGCATGAGGCTCCGACTCAGCAGACACACGCAGCAGCGGCCGCAGCAGCTAGCGAACGAGCTAGTAAGCTCTGGAGGCGTGGATGGGAAATTAATTTGCTAGAAATTAAGTTCTCTCTATCCCTCCCTCTCTCTCTATCTTTCTCTTGTCTGGCAGGTTGGAACAGATGCCACTGGCTGGAGATGGAGATAGAGATGGGGCAGCGTCGGAGTGCAGTTTGATCAGCACTGACAAGGGAAGACGACCTCTATAGATTTCCAGTCAAAATGTGTTGGAGATACTCTTAACGTTCATATTATAAAATAATCGAGAGCTAAATGTAATGGAAGTTCATAAAGGCTTTGTGTTGAACCAACCTGGTGAAATTCTCTACGGGGTTAACAGAGATATATTAAAACTAAAAACCAATGCCAACAAAAAAAGAAAAAAGAACAGGTGTAGGAAATATAGGTATCCACAAAGGTTTTAAATAAATCACGTCAACAATGTCAATTTGCAAAGCCACCTTGTATCCAGATGTAGGAACGTATGCTCAACTATTACGGTATTTTATGAACACTGTAGTTGGCATCAAGCATGCATTTTCTCTATATTATATCAGTTGAGGCCTGTGTTAAACGCTGAGGCAGGGTCCTGCCAAATGTACAAATTACCGTGTTCACTTGCTGCCACCTAGTGACTACAGAGTCAAATGTCACTTCTAAAAAGTTTGAAGGAGAAAAACTTCAAAATGTCACATAAACACATCAAACTACTGTCAGAAATGCATCGTCTTGGTGAGATTTATTGCAAGATTTATGCATGAATAGTGTGGCAGAGTTTTAGGTAAAAATGACTACACTGGATAGTTAGTGGGCTGCAAGGTGCAACAGTGGTTAGCATCGTTGCCTCACAGCAAGAAGGTCGTCGGTTCACATCACGGTGAGGACACCCGGGATCTTTCTGCATGGAGTTTGCATGTTATCCCCATGCAGCGTGGGTTCTCTCCAGGTTCTCCGGCATCCTCCCACACAGTCCAAAGACATGTTGAGGTTAATTGGTGATTCTAAATTGTCCGTAGGTGTGAATGTGAGTGTGCTTGGTTGTCTGTCTCTAAGTGTAGCCCTGTGATAGACTCGTGACCTGTCCAGGGTGTCCCCTGCCTTCACCCTGAGTCAGCTGGGATAGACTCCAGCCCCCCGTGACCCTAGTGAGGATTAAGCAGTGTATAGATAATGGATGGATGGATATTTACTGAGATCACACATCGTACCTTTTAATGATCTTGTGTTATCTTGTTGCAACACCATAGTAGGAGTGTCCATCTGTGTTAAAGCACTTGTATGAACAGAGAAGGGCGCGCACCGGAACAGTCAGCAAACTCCTCATTTTCATGTCCTGTAACACATGAATACGAAAGAACATTACATTACATGACTCCCTACTTACTTGTGCGATTTCAGTGCATTGTTATACTGTACTAATATATTACACTAATATAATCATATATGCTTTACCAGGTGTCATGGAATCATATTGTTTAAATTACAGTCTTAAAAGGACATCTTTTATGCAGTGACAGAAGGGAAAAAACATTCGCCCGACCTTCTTCAGACTTATAAAATGCACACATTCCAGCCAGGTGGTGAGGAAGGGGCGCTGGCAGACTGCACAACAGCTGCCACAGGCCAGCGGGGCAGTCAGGGACGGGTAGTGAGGAAGCATCCTGTGGATCAGAGAGAACCTGTTCCTGTCCTCCTGCAAAACAAATCTGGCAACCAGTTCCTACAGGGACACGAGGAAGACACCCTTAGAGCAGTCTGGGGACCAAAACATGCATTTTACCGTGACTGACGAATACATTATGTGTTGTTTTATTTGTTATACTTAAGTGACTCCTACCTTTAACGTCAGCACCTCAGCATCCTGCACCGACGGCATCGGCTCACGTTGCACAAACCTGTTGCCTTCACAGTACAGCTCCTTTAGAGGTAGCAGCTGAAACTAGACAGTGTCGCCCCAAGATAGACAAGGATGTTGTATTTCTATGCTTTTAAGATGTAACTACGAAACTGTGTGGTTCAGTGAGGTAGTAGTGCGTACTATACCTCAACAGGGAACATGGTCAACTTGTTCCCAGCAACATCGAGAACTTGAAGTTTTTCCAGTGTTTTTATTCCCTGGATGAAATGTCGAGCAAGTGTGATTACAGATAAGATAAGATTTGCCTTTCACAGTGATTGTCAGCAGCAGTACACACAGAGATACACACACACACTAGACAGAAAAAAATTACATAAAAAAACAGTGCAAACATAAGTATAAAAATGCACACGTAAAAAGAAGCACAGAATATAAGGGTGCACATTAAAACAGTGCAAATCCAGATATAAAAATAATAAACAGTGCAAATGCAAATATATAAATACATACATACATGTTGTGATTACAAGTTACAACCTGCAATCACAGCTGTCTGTAATGTATTTAATATGAAGAAAAGTGGTCAATTCAATCCTAAAATTCTCCATTTCCGACTACAATGGCAAAAAAAAAAATCAAGGAAACACGAAAGGACAAAGATATTTAGTAGTTAAATAACCCATAAGTGAATACCCACCTCTGGCAGGCTGGTCAGGTCGTTTCTGGCTGCATACAGCTTTGTCAGTTCTTTGCACTGGTACAGCTGCTGAGGTAGCCGAGACAACTTGTTGGAGGTCAGGTTTATCTCAGACAACCTTGCCAGATGACCAACCTCAACTGGAACTTCCTCCAGCTTGTTGTCCAGCACACTGAGGTGTTGAAGTTTAGTCAAGCTGAAGAGGAAAACAGGTTCACACGTGTTGATTTGACACAGATGTGTGTTATTTTTCTTATCCCAGTTGTGCTCTTGAGTGGTGCTGTGCAGGACATTTGCAGGTATACGACATACATCCACTTATTTCTCAGTTTTTGTGCATCACTTAATAATGAGTCCATCTAAGACATGAACTTTCATAATGTAATACTTTTTTTCTTCACAGCCCTTTGAGTGCAATAACACAATGTAACATGGATTCTTCTCTGTGCAACTTTTCAAGTGAATAACTACTGCTTTTTCTAACATTTATGTTTAACTGTACACTCCGTGTGTGTCCTACAATTTGGGCATTTCTATGCAGAGCTGTACATGTGAAAGGTGCACATAGTCTTGACTACATTTTTAGTTTTATTCTACTTCTATATTTTTTGTCTTGTTTCTTACGATACTTCATTTGTAGCTAGCTGCTGTAACGTGTGAAGGGATCAACAAAGTTTATCTTATCTTATCTTATCTTATCTTATCTTATCTTATCTTATCTTATCTTATCTACTCTGCCTCTGACTGGTTAGACCTCACTTCCTCCTGGGGTTAAAAAAATCACTCTCTAATCTGTCACCTGGGCCTTTGCTTACCTGAAGTTGGTTTGTAAACATGTATTGACAATTGATTCATTTTGGGATTTTTTAATTTTAGAAATCCTCTTGGACATCTTGGATAATTGTTAAAAATTGACTGAGCAGCGACTGAGACCATGTTTGTCTCATCGTTAATATATCTTTTATTGATGCATCAGGCCTTTGCACGACCCCTAATATTTGCAAACTTCCCCTTGGCAATCAATTTTAATTTTATATTTGCTGTTAAAGTCTGGCTTACACTGCCTGCTGCAAACCAGATATTCCAGGAGAGAGTTTACAAGAAACTCACGATTTTAAACGATGCAATTAGCAAATCTCAAAGGTTGCAATTTAGGATGTACAATATGCAGCACGTCAGCCGTCCTCCTTGTGTCGCTTTTGATTGTGTTGATGCTCTATCACATGTTTTAAATTTATTAGCCAAAACTGAACTAAAGCTTGACTTTAAAAAAATCATAATAACAATCAGAAAAAATTAAATTAGATATTTTCCCCCAAATCACTCAGCCCTAAGAGAAACTACAGGCCAACAGACAGGAGAGGTGAGAGAGTAGCTGTCCAATTTTCATGCATGGAAGGACTAAGAAAGAGTGAATTCAAAATGCATAATTATGTAGTTATCTCAGCCTGTAGTCGGTGGGCCTGTATTGATTTGCAAAATCTGCAGCCCTTCTGTCGCTTATGTTAATTTCATAATGATCCTTATTCTCTGAAGTCAAGCAGCAGAAGTTAAGTGGCAATGTGCAAAACAGTATTGACCCATTTTTTGGGTGAACTAAATGTGCAAGCGTGCATGTCAGTGTTTGGAACACATTCACCGTCTACTGGACTGACATAAAAACACAGGAGTGTATTCTATAGGCACCACTTTTCTCATAAAAACAAGCTGATCAGTCAACAAGTTGGTTAAATTAGCTTCACATATACAGATGTCTTCTTCATAACCTGTGATTGGGTTGAATGGAGTTGGAAGTCACTGCTGTACCTTCTGATCTCTGCTGGGAGTCTCTGGATGTGGTTGTGGTTCAGATTGAGGACAACGAGGTTCACCAAGCCACCTGTAAAACACGAACATCAGCTACAACAGCGGAGGAGACTTAAGCTTCGTGTTAATCATGCAAAACAGCCAGAACCCACCTATCACTTCAGGTGGCACTACAGTAATTTGGTTGCTGAACAGGTAGAGTTTTTTCAAGGACTCCAGATGGCCCAGAACAGCGGGGACCTCCTCCAAGTCATTATTCCCCAAATTCAGTTCAGCCAGCTTGCAGGCATTGTGGAAGGAGAAGTATTTAATCACAAATCTGCGTGATGTGTAAAACATTTCAAGTGCTTCCTTTGGCAATTTTCGAGCAAACAGAAGAGGTTCGAGCAAACAAACGGAGGAGACTCACTCGTTGCAGAGAGCGCAGCTCGGCGGGGAGGCCGCTGATGGAGTTGTTGTTCAACAGGAGGACTGACAGCTTTGTTAATCTGGAAACACACTCGGGAACGTCCTTTATTTTCTGCGAACTTAAATTTAGAGAAGTTGCTCCGCCGTACAAAGCTCTAACCACCGACTTTTCAACGACCAACTCTGCTTTGGCCATTTGATAAACCGGGGATCGAGTCTTTTTCGTTGCGTTTCCAAGGCGACCGCGGTAAGATGTGCACAGCAGCGGTAGCGGCCTCTAGTGGTCAGAGCGGAGCACTGCAGGAGGCCCCCATTAAGATAAATAGACTCCAACATAGATGGACTCCAATGTCCAACCTGTCATGATTAAACTTGTTCACACGATTCTACTGAGATAATGAGATTTCTATGTATGTATGTACAAGTGCATCTCTAAAAAAAAAAAAAAAGAAAAGAAAAAGGAAAAATCGTAGAAAAAGTTATTTAAGAAAGTTAAATTTAATACAAGATGATACACGTGATTTTTTTTAAAATCACAAATGTATGCGATAATTCATTCTAGTCATTACATAAAAAGCAACGTGTCATGCAAAAAAAAATGTTTAAATGTTCCTGATAAATTAAATTTGAGTTCTTGTTTAAATTTAACTTTGATTCTTTGCACTATTAGTTATTTTTAGTCACTTTTTTTTACTGTAATATTTATTGTGTACTCTATTTATTGTTGCTTTGTTGCACCAACCCACCAGAACAAATTCCTCGTATTGTGTGAACTCTACCTGGCAATAAATCTGTTTCTGATTCTGAATAATTTATATTCATAATTACTGTTTGTGTCTTGGTGTAAGTCAGTCAGCATTAGAGGCCAGGCCCGATTTCATCTCTATAACATCTTTTAACGAGCAGCACGAGGGCACTCAGATTTAAATGGCGATTCCCAAAACAAGGCAGACAGTTTTTTTTGACTATCTGCCCAATAAGCCGACAAGCTACCTGGAGATAACTCGTAAGTGGGCAGCAATATTCTGCGGTGAGCGACAGAAGTGGCAGGAATGACTTGAATAAGAGCCAAATGTTTATTCATGGTGGTAATTAGATGAAAACTAAGCAAAGTTGTGGTTGGAGAATGCACAACAAAATGCAAATGATGGATAACAGTATGAAAGAAGTCAAATGACTCTCAAAGCCACAGACAAGTGAACTACTTCATTATCTTCATTTTGGCTTCAGTGATGTGATTTATTCTTTTGTACTTGGCAGTACACTCAACCTACACTCACATAATTTCAGATACCGGATTTCTGATTTTCATACAGCCATATAGTCATAATCATCAAACTTAAAACATAAAAGGCTTGAAGTATCTTACCTTACTTGTGACAAACGTTTTCGAGTTAAGTCACAAAAAATGAACTTTTTCACAACGTTCTAATTTTTGAGATGCACTAGCGCACAGATAAAATAGATTAGATACTCTCCAACCAAACTAAACATATAGTTTGTGAAAATAACATCTGCAAAATATGTCAACCAACTCACCCACATGATAAATTCTGCTCCCACTCAGCATTCTCATTTATTTATCATATAATTCAACGTATAGATTTACTTTAGTTGTTTTTAGTTACTTATGGTGTTTATTTTTCCTTGAATGAATTAGAATTTTTCCTTGATGAATACTCCTTGTGTTTTGTTTGTTCTGTCATTTAATTGTCGTATTTCTCTCGATGCTTTGGCAATATTTCCCACATGACTTTATTGCCAATGAAGAAATTTGAATTGAACTGAAAACGAGAGGAGATTTCCCTGTATGATAACATCGCTTTAAAATAAACCTGAAGAAGACAGCTTGTGGTAGAAATGCTACTAGAAGTATTTTGATCCTCCTGATGATCACTTTGAATTCAACAACTAAAAAGTCTATTTGTTTCATCAGAAATAGTTCAAATAAAGCCCATATACACCTTGTTGGTTTTGTATGCATTTATGTAACACTGATATGATTTACAAGTTCAAATTCATTCCAAGACCACTGCAAAAGTTCAGCAACCACTCGGTGACTCTGTTGACACTTGGTTGGGTGTCATGCAGCACCAACAGCTCTCCAGCCTTCTCCTGCCAAAGTGGATTTGTTTAAAAAGTACAGTATTACACCCCTGTGTCCTAAAATGGGCTGCTGGGGAAATCCTAGGGGTGATGAGGATAGACACAGGGCGTCCAATGTAAAATCATTAACACATCACTTGCCTATCTATGCTATTTCGTATTAGCACAATGACACTGTTTTCAGTACAGTTGAATTCTGTTAGATTTCTCTCTCATTCATCCTGACTTTGGAACAGAAAAGCACCACTCTGCGTTTAAGCCATTTTGAAAACAGCAACATTCTCTGATAAACTTAGCTTAACAGTGTCTCAGAGGTGGGGTCACCCTCCAAATATGTTAGTATTTAAGGGTCCTCAGTGTTGAACGCTTCCTGCATTGCACACGTTGGTTTCTGTCACACTAAGCCTGAGGCAGCCTCTCAGCTCTCCTCCGCATTGGCCGGGTCCTTCAGTCGCTCCACGGTGTTGTAGTGCTCTCCTAGACCGTAGGCATGACGCATGTAGCTGCACACAATGAGAAAAATAGATATTCTATGACTCACGAGGTCACAGAAACATTCAGTATAGTTTATGTACAGATGAAAGTTGTACAAGCTCGTCTGTCTACAGCTGCTTTAGTTTGCTGAACGGTGGCCAAGATGGTGTCAGTTCATTAACATGCTGCTGCAAGAGGATGCCAACTGTCATGTTACTACTGCGCATAATTGGACCATCAATTACACTTCCCTGGCGAGAGCAATGCGCTAAGAGAAAAGTTTTTAGTTGAGATTTTCAGAATGCTTATTTTGCATTTTTACAAATTAGATTTAAATTGTTGACAGGCAAAAACTACCATAAATGCCACAAGTGTGTAAATCCAATCCTACCATCAAATCTAAATGCAAAATGGTTCTTATACA